CATCCTAAGGGCATAAAGTAAAAGGATAGCCAACAGGAAATGGTAATATGCAACAGCCAAGACAGATAAATAATTATTAAATTAATGAATTTTATTTACAACCATTCATCATTGTAAAACTATACATCATAAAACTTACACTGTCACGGAATAAAGTAATGTCAATATCAGATATTCCATAAGGTACTTTTCCACTGGCTACATTATTAAACTGTAAAGATATAGCACAACGTGTAACTATTATACCCTTTTCTCCATGCTAAATGATATAAATTAATCACAATAAATTTATCTAACCAGGTTTTCAATATTCTCAAGATCATAAACACAGTGATCCTTTTCCCTTGCAATGTCCAAAGGGGTTTGACCATTCTAAGTAAATAGAAATAGTTATTGTAATAATCAATATGGGTTGTCGGTTAACTACTTTAGTCTCTTTATTCAGATCTGCTCCAGTCTTTGTAAGAAGACAGACAATATCATCATGATCATGAATTACTGCCACATGTAAAGCTGTCAGATCGTCCTAATTGAGTAATTAAAACATTCAAGCATTAACGACAAGAGTAAATAATGATTTATTATTAACTCATTTACTCTTTTTAACAATTATGTATGTGTAGAGTCGGTAGTCTGACTTACTTCTGTATCGGTGCTCATAGTCTTCTCCAATGACACATTATGAAGTATCAACAGTTTGAGAATAACATAATAATTCTTTTCTGCAGCAATATGGATCATTCCCTATAAATTAAATACAAAACTAGTAATAATGAAAAAATTGGGAAAGCAACAGAGTGAAACTAATTACACATATTAATCAATTGTGCATCATGCATGATATCACATCATTGCCCCAAGTATGTTATTGAACCAACCGTTCAATTACATAGACTTCCAAGTAAGTCTGGTTATAAGTTCAATGCATGCCCCTGGCTATTATGGCATTGTTTTGGCCTTAAAAAATACTGAGACTATGCGTGGGCACAAAAACAAAAAAAGGAGGGAGAGAGGCTGTGTTTCCTATTGGTATTTTTACAGGCTTACCTTTCCCTTGTACACGGCATCAGGGCTAGCTCCATCTCTCAGTGCTTTGGCTACATCAAAGATCCGTTTTTCATTGACAGCAACTGCTAGTTTGCTATCCAACTACATTTAGACACGGTGTAAAGCATAGCTCTGTTTTAAAATAAGTAACAAACAAACCTCAGACATGATTCTATGAGGAGAAGACAATCTGGACAGAGGCGTCTAACCCGAGGTCTGAACCATTCTTTACTTATTTTTAGCTAGAGTAGGCGTTGCATAAAACTAATTATCCTAATTAAAGCTTTGTATGACTTCTTCCATTATGAATTAATGTCTAATAATGCATACAAAATCATGTTACAAAAAGTACTTTGTCCTCAGTCTCTAGCTGAGAGTCTGAGACTTTAATTTATTTCATCAAACTAAACTT